CATTTACATCGCGCATCAGAGGGCATATCCTCTCCGCAAATCCTCCTCTGTCAGGCCGTGGTAGGCCGCCGGATTGTGCTCAGCGTAGACCGTGTGCGCCGGCTGCTGGACATTGGGTGGGCTCGGGTATCTCTGTCGGGCGTCCCACTCCGGCTCGACATCCCTCATCTCGTACGACTCGGATCGCTCTTTGCCTTTCGAGTCACTCCACCTCTGCTCTTGACTGTCTCCTCCAAACGCGAGACCAATCTCTTGAGGTAGTCTTTGGGGCTTCGCATCATTCACCGGCCATTGCATGGCAGGTGCCTCGGCACCGCTTACTGGGCTGTTGTACTGAGACGAGTATGGAGAGAAGTATCTCGTGTATGGTTGTTCCCCATTGACACTCATGGGTGAATCGTCCCATCCACGAGAAGGCCCTTGACTCTGCGGCGAGGCGTCCCAGGTTCGCAAAGGCTTCTGGCTAAGGGGAGTCCCGCCGATGCCAGTGGTATTGAGCGGTGTTGGCCATCCGGACCGACCGCCACCGCCCTGCTGTTTCATTTCGAGCGTCTTCAAGAACGCTCTACGTCTCCTCTTTCCGTTCCACACAATGCAGAAACCGGCGATGACGAGAAGGAGGACGGCGGCTCCAATCGCAATGCCGACCTTGCCGCCCAGGCTGATGGGACCGCTGTTGTAGTTTGATACGTATGTGTTGGTCGGCGTCGGCTCAGTAATGTTGACTCGAGTTTTTGAGAATGGAGAGCCGTCAATGGAGACCGTTGTACCGGGGACGGGTTTCTGTTGGCAGCCTGCATCCAGGATGGTGAGAACTGGGAGCTTGTCAGTCAAATTCTCACAGCAGGTTGTCGTAATACACACAGTTGGTGATGAAATTGTTGTTTCCTGCACGGAGACAGGCAGAACAGCCGGCGACCTGATTATGGTTCCAAACATCGCAGTACTCAAACTCGGTAACGTTGGAAGCCAAATCACTGTATGTGATTGCTTTTTGTAGCGGCTCGCATGCAGTCCTGTTTGATGGTTACTAAATATTCCAGTTCTCGGGGTCACTATCAGACATACCTTGTGAGACACGGGCTTGAGCCGACGTTGGGGTTATCTGGATATCCAAAAGTACAGTACGAAATGGCGTATCGCAGATTATCTACACCGACAAGGTCAGCCTTCCTCTTCAGCCTGGAGCCTGAACAAGGCACCTACACAATGCCCATTGGGTGTCTGTCTCGTTGGTACTAGTCGCAAAGTCACTGCTCAACTCGCAAGACACGCATTGCTGGTAGACAGAACCGGCCGCGCTGCTGGAGTACGAGTGCTCGTCGCAGACAACGTCATTCTTGGTCGTCGCATCGAGTACGTTGCCGCATAGCGTCTGGCAAGGTGAACCATCAGCCACGTGGATAGCCGACACCCGACTAAGCCAGAGGCCTAACACAAGGGCACCCGTCGCGGGGCGCATTTTTGGACAGAAAAAGCGAGAGCGATTTGAAATTTCGAAATTGCGTGTCCGACCAGTGAGTCGGCAAATATTGATTCACAAGGTCTCTTCGAGAAGACCCAGCTGAAGACCGTTTTCTGAGGGGCGAGACGTCTGTCTTACATGCCTGCGAGCGCCGGATATCTGACTGGTCCTAGCCGTACTGAAGGCGGTTATGCGACGACGAAGTTCACTATGCGAATATCCGTAGTGACATACGCGATGTGACGAGGCAAGGCTCATCGATCGTGGACAATGCGAAACAAGGCTTCATATGTGTTTCGGTGTTTGCAAGAGAGAAGGTGGGATCACTGTGATTGTGACGAGAGGTGGCAGGTCGGCGCGAAAGAACCCCCCATATGCTGAAGCACAACGGCTCCAACAGCGTGTTGGTTGTTGGCGGAGCCAAGGTTATGCGTGTGATTGGGGTCCAGGGCGAGAGTGAATATTGGAGTGGCACAGCAATGATGGTGTCCTCGAACCATGTAGGAACCTCGAGAACATGCCTCTTTGGGGGTCCCCGCGGTCTCTGAAATGGGCCAACACCAAGAGTCAGCTCGCAAAGAAAGGCGTAGGCAGCACCTTAAGCTGCGTGGCTGCGAAGGTCTCTGCGGAAGACCTTGGACTTGAAGGGCTCGTTAGACCGGCCGCATCAGAACTCACCGCCGCGCGGGTGGCGGGCGGTCGTTCAGCAAGCAAATCGCAATCCTGTTTCCTCGCCCTCTCGCTGGTCCGTCGCTGGTTCTCGTGGCGCCGATGTGCAGAGGGACGCTGCAACGCCCAGCCACTCAGATTACAGAAAACGGCAGATGTCACGGTGCTAGAGCTGCACGAACCCCTGCTCTATTTCACACATCAGCAAAGCCAACTTCTGCGCTGCGGGACTCCCCTTCCGCCCCGGTGATTGGCGACCGCGCCAGCCGGTGGCCTGCCGGATGTGGTCGGACAAACAGCTTTAGCCGCCCGGGATGAGGAGAAGGACATGGGCACCCCGGTCTGTTCTTCAATAATGCCCCCTCCTCCGTGAGCTTGTATGGACTCACAACTACCTCACAATCGATAACAAGCTGCTAGTCACTCAGTGTGCCTGTCCTAGCTCGAACAATCTCAACCGTCGTCAAAGTCTAGAGCCAGAAAGGGTCTCCGCTCATGAGCAAATACATATATGATCATCATCTCATGTTATGAAGCCATTCTCTTGCATCCGCAACCGCCCGTGCCGTCCCCTCGGTATTCCACTCGCCAGGGTTAAGGTTCGTCGCATAAGACACCCCCAAAGCTCTCGACTGGGACAATGCCTACGCCAGTTGAATTGTTTGGTCGAAATGGTCAACACGGCGGCTAGTCGAACGGGCCTGGGCAAAATGCGGAAGTCTACTCGTGTCCCGAGTGTACGGTTCTTGCAATCATGAGCGCTCCTTTACGGCCGCAAGTCCTGATCAACCGCTCGGAACCATAAGGGCCGCAGTCCGCATGATTGTGACGCTCTCGAGTACGGGAAGGGTACCCGACAAAGGCCGGGATGTTTGACTCATTAATTTGCCATTGTTGAGAAATATAGAAAATGTCATAACACATACAAAGCTCGCATTCCCAGATCCGCACGCCAAACGCAAGAACACGTATGCTTGACCCATCCGTTTTTCTACCTTGGTTGATCTCCATTATCCCCTCCCAAAATTCCATTCTGTCTGCGCATACTCCAAACTTCCAAATTCAAAAATCTCAATAAACGGCACTCAAGCAAACATGAAGCAGGATGGCACACCTGAACAGTATCCGTCAAGACCCAGTTGGTGACTTACTTTGTAGCCTGTGCCGCATCTACAGAGCAAACCGCATGGGTCCCATACGAAATCCATCAACCAACTACGCGAGCCTCGTCACGCAGTCCCAACATAGCTGTTGGGGTCGTCGGCTCGATCGGACTCCAAATGCTTGCAGCTGCGTTGGACGTACGTCTTTGGCCAGCCTTGCCGGTGTCAGCTGAAGACGACGAGTTAGTGTTGTAGTCAGACAAGCCTAACAGCGCTTCAGCCATGGACCTGTCACCTTTTACGTTCAGCGGTCCTGGCTTATCAATTCCAAAAATGTGAGCCTTCTCTCTCAGACACATGTCAGATTGTTGGTTCCGGATGACTCCATGACGTGCTGCCAGGGTATTACTCGTGGCTGGGTAAGAGACGTTGTTGGAGCCGCGTGTTTCGCTCAAGCCTCTATCTGACGTCGATCTCGTTCTTCGGTGGATGCTCTGACTGTTTCCGGTTTGTTGTTGCAGTCGTTGCTGCTCGTTGACCCGAGAGGCGAATGAAGGGCGCCTGCCAACGTCTTCGATATCAATGATTGAGCGCAGAACTTCACTACGCTGATTGTGCCGACTTTCACTAGTCTTGCTCGGTGACTTAATGTCAGACCGAGACCGCGTTCGACGTGGGGCTTGGTCCCGTCGGGGCGTGAAGTCAAGGTACTGCAAAGACGAATGAGATGTTGCGCTCTGCGGCGAACTTGTATCGATGCGGTTGGAAAGCCGGTCCTCCGTACGAGCCCGAGATTCGAAAGATGGCCCGGCTGACAAAGGTCCGCGCTCGTCTTCAGGAATGACTCTTGTCTCAGCTTTGCCCGGGCTGCCAACTACGGCTGCCGAACTCCCTGTTCTGCGCTGTTCTGCGCTCAAATCGGGTTGGCTAAACTTCGATTTCAAGTTGCGACTAGAAGTCCTCCTCGCCGGGGAGTGGGTGGTTGATGTGCGAAGACTGGCAGAGCTTCGCCTCTGCTTCACCGGTCTTTCATACCTGCGAGATGATGAAAGAATTTGCTCCTCTCGTCGAAAAGCCTTGGAATCGGTTGCTAAGTCCGAGGCAGCGCTCACGCTTTTATCGTCCTGTAGGGGCTTGCCGCCAACATTGTCTGGTGGAGGCTCGAAAGATCGAAACATCGACGGAGCCATCTCATCAAACGGCGTGATGGGACTGAAGCAAGCCTCTGAATTCGATGCCTGACCATCAAACACAGGGCCATTTGGAGGCGTTGCGAGGTACCTGTTCAAGAGTTCATTGCCCTGCGCAAGTTGTGAAGCTTGAGATAACCATCCATATGACGTTGCTGAATCGTCAGACAGGACAGAACGGGAAGACCAAGTCGATAGGGCACTCTTGGGCTCTGGGTTTGGAAGCTCAACCGTTTCCCCAGATCGCACCGGAATGGATATCTTCGGGCGAGTTGCAAATGGCGTTGGACTAGGAGCCGTGGGCGTTGGTAGGTTGGTGTCCTGGTTGCCTAGAGGTCGCAAGGGTGATTTGGGGATATCTTGACCGGTGAGGATGTTTGGTGGCTTCACACGCTTTGCAACTGGAGTGTGCTCAGTTGACCCCTTGGAAGAGTATGAGCGGACAGAAGCATTTGTCGACTTTACTGAGGGCTCCGAAGGCGGTGCAGAGCTCTGGTCTCCGGCTTGGCCTTTCGATGATGAGGCTGTCTCAGGTAAGTTTGGTGAGGCCTGAGGCTCTACTTCGTTGATTTTCTCGTTCTGTGCAGTAACAGGTTCCTCAGGCTCGGGGCGATAGACCAGCTTTGCATAAGGTGCCTCGTTCGTGTCGACGACCAACAGCTTCTTCTCACCACGTCCGAGAACCCCGTAAATTTTGACCTCGCCGTGTTGAACGCCAATGACAGCACTAGTACCGGCATAGACAGCGTCGTCTTCTATGCCGGCTCTGTTGCAGAACACTACAATGATCTCATCATCATTCTCACTCCGAATCAGGGGCTCCAGACGTGCGACCCAGTAGGTCAAGGTGTCCATATCGGGTTCATTCGGGGTTGACGTGAATACCTGAGCATCTGCGCGGGTCAACCAGGCCATTGACATGATAACCAAGTTAGAATAGGACTCCATGACATGAAATGCGAACTCGTGGGCATGCCATGGCGCTTCAAACTTGTAAGGACTACATGCAATTAGCGACCAAGTGTGGCTTGGCATTTAAACAAACTCACTTGATATCCATGCCTGGAAGATAGTCAGTAAACGCAGTTTGGTCGAAAACGGACTGAACTCCGAAGACTTACAAATGCCGATGGAAGTTCGGCCCAAGCCGGGAATGGTTCCTCTGTAGAACCCTTCATCTCCTTCCAGTGCCCAGGTCTCGTCGGTGTAATACAGAAACGTCTTCCTGTAGTTGGCAATCGTTTCGCCGTCCTCGTTGACTACAAGAGCCGCATTGTAGTATTCAGGGCTTGCTGGCCAGTCGTCTGTCATATCAACTTTTTCTGGGTATCCAACAACGAGGTTGCAGCCGTACTTCAGGGCAGTTGTTCGAGCCCATAACGACGTGATGCCGGAGCCTGATTGTTCGAGATAAGGCGCAATATGGCTCAGCGACGTGAAATTGTAGCCTGTTGAGGAGAAGCAGTGTAAGTAAATTCCAAGGGGGAAAACTCTCCTGCGGCACTGCAGTTCGTCTTCTACAGTGCCAATGACCATGAGATGCCGCAGCTTCCATTGCCTTGCCCAGCCCAGCATCAGAGATCAACTTACCGGAAAACGACAGCTCTGGAAGAACGAGAAGATCAAGATCTCCAGGATCGGCTTTGCTCAAGACCGCGTCGGCTCGATTGAGGTTATTGTCAACATCACCCACTTGGGGGGCGAACTGTAAACAACCTATCCTCATCTTGAATCACCTTGGTCAACTGGCCAGCGTGCCCTCTGCAACAACGGCGTTCCGGATCCTGACCTCAGGGGCCGTTCTGCCTGCGCTGCGAGTTGCCGCCGTTCGTGAGGAAGATAGTGCAACTGACAATGGCAGAGACATGAACGAAAAATGTTGGGCATCAAAGTTTAAAGATGATGCGGTTGGATGCAGCCGGATTCAGACACTGCCCGCGGGGCAGATGGTGGTACAGATGAGGTACGAAACAATACCCTTTCGGAAATGGAATACTGGGGGAGGCAGAAATTATGGGGAAAGTGCCTGTGCGGTTTTGGGGTCGGGAGAGCAGCACAGCAGCCAAGTTGCCAGAAACCCGGGCCTGGTGATGCCAAGTTGCCAGCCACTGGCCAACGGTCACGCACTTCTCAGGGGAGATCTGCATGAAAGAACAGGGGGGCGCACTGCAGCGCAAACTGCGGCTAGGGCAAGCAAGCTCCTCAGTGTGTGGCCGAAGAGGCGCAGGCATGCAGTGTTCAGCGAGGTGATTGGTAGCGTGTGATGGCACATTAGAAAGAACCAACAGCGAAGCGACATTTGCCGCCAGGCTCGGCCATGACAGGGGACCCAAGGGTGCCATTGCAGCCAGCGCTTTGCTTCCTGTTCACGCTGTTCGACCTTACTGGTGAGGTCGGCTTCGTATCGCTCAAAAAGGACCGGTGAGAAGAGGTCGTGGGTTTTGATGATCCATCGAACGTTTCTGGCATCATTCATTTCACTGTATTGTACAAGAGGAGGGGCCACTGCTCCTCCTTCTCAGCCAGAAAGACGCAATGAGTGGCTGACATGTCCTTGCTGTAAAACCAAGTCAGTGGTCACGAGAGGGCCAATGTCATCAAGTCTTGTGTCTGCTTTGCGATAGTGGACTCAGCTAGCGGGCAAAAACGTACGAATAGAACGTATTATCAAGCATGCTCATGCGAGCTGAAGCAAGAAAGCCGCTATTCGTATCTATGTCACGTCAAAGGTATCCACAGACCGTACACGCGATGTATGACAGCGTAATCTCGGTAGCAGCCGTTGGTGATCCGTCCCCTCCCACACGTGGATGGCATGCGTGGCTGCGGCACAGCACAACCTGCCGGCACTTCCTACTTACGAATCTGGTCTCCTATTGGTCATATCCAGTCTTTCTTCGAAATGTTCTCGTTCTTTGTGAAACCTCAAGGACCTGTGGTCCGAACACCCATCTCTGGGACCGTTCTTTGTGGCGTGTTGACGTCTGAGGCTAGTGTTCTATCCTGCTAGTCAGTTTGTTGGTCTCTCGTGGCCTCCAGTTGAGATTGTTTTCGAACACATTGCCTGTCCGTTGACATACCTGATCACATGGCCAAGAAGCTTTAATTGATGCCTTTCTTGAGTGAACATGCTACTTGTCCAGACTCAACGACAGCTCCAGAGTTCGGATCGTTTGCTTTCCACGTTCGAACAACACTTTGACTTCGGGCTGTTCATTTTCGAGAAAGGAATCACCCTCCTGCGCTCAGTTTCCTCGACCATAGTTCTCGATGTTGGTCAACCCTGCCAAGTTGCGTCTTCACTTCACTTCTCACATCACACAACATCTCATAGGCAGGTAGACTCATGCATTTCGGCTCCGACTATTCCAATGTGGAAATTCATCCAAATTCGAATTACAGATACCACTTCAACGACACCACAATTACCATCTACTACTCTTAAAGAATTTAAAACCCCCAATATCATGTTCAAGAAAGGTTGCGGAAGAAAAAAGCTCAGTCCCTGAACCGCCACTCATTCTCACGGTCTCACTCCCCGACCCCTTAGCACACCCCCTACCATCACTCGTAACATACACAAACCTTAAATTAAAACAAGACAGAGACAGCATTGGGTCCGTTGTCACCAAGAAGAGTGTTGGTATTGACATTGTTGAAGCCAAAAAATGCGGCTCTGTCATGGTTTGGGCTATCAATATTGTTAGCTTGCGTCAGAGTGAGAAGAGAATCTTGAGTATTACTTCATCAGAGTCATCACAGCCTCTCCCGTGGTCTCGTTGTGGCCCCAAGAGGCTGTCCAGCCTCCTGACATGCATTCTTCGTAGGCAAAACTCTTGCCAAGTGGCTTGGTACCTTCGAACATCGGAATAATAAGGCGACACATTTCAACCGGAGCGTCACCAGCTTGAATACCGAAAGAAATGATGATTGCGTCGGTGTAAGGTGCTCCTCGGTTGAATTCATCTAAGAGCATCTGTGAGCAAAAGGTATCGACCACGCTTACAGTAAGTAGGAAGCCTAGAAGGGAACTCACATCTGACGAGATTCAAGATCTTCCAGTCAGTAGCGTACGCCAGGCCCGACGGTTCTTCCCTAGTTTCGATATCCCGCTTGGACGACAGGGGATAGAGGAAAACTTTGGACGTCTGAGGCGAGGCTTCGTTGCCGGCCCACAAGTCAGCGTCCTTATAGGCGAAAAAGGACAAGAGCTGTCTCTCGTCGTTGATGACGGTCAAGGTGATGAACTCGCGCTCGTCCCAACCACCGTTGATAGTGTACTCGGGAGCCCCGGGGCACTTGAGAGACGAGAAGTCGGTCTGGTACGCAGGGAGTCCTCCCGCGGCGTCGACGGCGAAGTCACAGTACTTGGGCGCCTTTGCCGGGTCTTCAGAGATGAGGAAGCTGTAGGTGCATCTGCCTAGTTCCTGCTCACAGACTCGTCGGAAGCCTAAGAGGGACCAGTCTTCCGGTTTTTGAGGTTGCGATGGTTCTGCTGGGGCCCCGAGACCCAGGTTCGCCAAGATGGCAGAGAAGACGAGTGAGCGGATATACATAGTGATTAGTCGGTCTTGTGATGAAAGGGCGATCAGGATTATAAGACTTTGGCTTGAGGTCTGGAATGAAGTAGATAAACTCTGTTCCATGCTCCTTCTTATGTAGTTGAGCTCATCACTATCCAGGTGTTCACTGACTGTGTTTCTGCTATCGTATACAGATCAAGATCTAGACTCATGACTTGATTGTCAGAGTAACACATGACCCAAACAACACTTTGTACAACCAAAGCTTCTCCAAACAGGGCCGAAATCATGAGTTTTTGATGAGAGAAAGCAAGCAGATCAACTGGAGATTTGATGCTAATGCTTCAGAACCCAGTCGGATACTCCATCGAATCTCGCTCTCGTACGGCTCGTAACATGTAATGGTCGATCCGAGCAGCCTATGTAGCATGACATCTTGGGAATGCCACCTTCGTATGGAACTGGTCTATCGACGGAATTGATTTTGGTGGAATTCACCTAAGTAGAATCATCGATCCTCTGATAAGGGGAACCTTGAGAAACGGGTGAGAAATCACGTATTCAGCCAAACCTGCCTAATTTACTAACAAGCTTCCAGTTTGAAGCAGGTGCTGTCACCCACGCAGTGGTGTTTTCACACTCCAAGCAATCTTAGGAAAGAATTCATTCTGTGGACGGCGAAGATCCTGCTCACCAAATGAGGACAGAAATGATGATGTGAAATTGTCACTTTCCACTTCCGATAGGTTTTGGAAATTCGTGCAACGCCCAGAAGGGGTCAAGCTTTCAGGTAGATGTTACGACGAGAGCTGAAAGCCATTGCTCGTACGGATGGGAAGTTTGCGCTAGGCTCATTTTGAGTACGATGCTTCAAGCCAGTTATGTATGCCAAACCATAGTTCTTGTCTGCTGCCACCTGCTGTATCACCGCGATGCCTGCAAGGGCCCGGCAGTGTGACACGTGAAGAGCTGATGCCTGAGTCCTAATCGCTTATAACAGGAACGATGAGGATGCTTTGCCTTTTCCCACCCTGTTGTTTGTCAGGATTTTAGTGATTTGGTGCAGATTGTGAACTATCAGTGAAGTTGGATTCCTAGGATATCCACGTACTTCCCTGACCAACGGTTGAACAAATCAGCGCAGCACACCGTCTCGAAACGCCAAGGGAGGGATGTTGGAGCAGTTTAATACCAACAGCAACCCGTAGTCATCTCAAGGGAAGAAAATCGCTCAAATTCTAATTCCCCACACAGAAATGGATGAATTCGTGCAAAGCATGGGACGTTACCCCCAACCAAGTAGAATGAGGGCCGGTTATGCAGCCACCGTCACACTCCTACGCTACTATTCACGGATTCTCACTCCGCACCCAAATTAATGAAAGATTCATGATTTACGCTTGGGATTCTGAATGGGTTGAGTAGCCGCTGCCGCGGCAAAGAGACACCTACCAGCGAAGCAGTCTGGCTTGCTCCCACCCTGCCTCGTGAAAGCTGAAAAGCAACTTCAGCTTTCGCTTCGTGATGTTGCTCAAGTTCAACGTTCTCATGTGTTTTGAATCACAGAAACATCGTGTAGCTAGCACATATGTCAGCCATATGAAACGGCACAGCCAAGGGCCATGTCCATCAATAGCTTCAATGTGGCCAATGTCCCGATTCCGGGTTAGGCTGTGATTCTTTAGTCCGAACCCTTCATGCTCCTCATGAGTCCTTCCGTGCCTCAGTCAGACTTCTTCCTGCATCGTTGGTCGCTCGCTTCGAAGCGCTGTGGATCTGTCTTTACCTCCACGAGTTATTTTGGCTTCAAAGATACAGGCCCTTCTCGAGCCGCCTTGGCGCGAGTGGCCTGATTTCCCCGCTCCTTCTACTCTTGGGCTGACATGGATGATTTGTATGATAGGCTCTTCCGGCCTGGGAACAGGGTAGACGTTGCCGCTGACTGGTCAGAAGAGCAAGACACTGAGCGTGGACAGAGTAAGAAGCACGCAGTTAAAGCGAGGATGGGGGAGAGGGAGGGCCGCCTCCCTGGCCGGCGTCTACGAGGACCACTCAGTCCTCTTTCCCATGGCTGTTTTACGTTCCATTGCCTCCCGCTCTGCCTGTCTTACCCGTCCAATTACAGCCCCTGTTTGTTTCTCAACCCTGGCCGATCCTCTTGTCTGTTTGCCGCTGGAATCTCCCACCTCGCCAGTCTCTCATTGGTCGGGCGACCACGGCTGGACAGCAACTTTGTTTCCGGACTCTGAAGCAGGGGGCCTGACTGGTCAAGGTGCCCCATCCACCAACATTGGAGCTGCTATTCTGAGATTCCGATCTGGGGTTCTTGCATGGAAGGCAACTTATTTTTCGACTTTCCGGAGTGAGATACTGCAAATGCTTGGTCACTCACAAGTTGTAATGGACTTCGCAAATTCGACGCCAATGGCACTAATGCATATCACTACACCACCGGCCGTACAACCTGGAACGCCCTCTGCAATGGCAAGGCCTGCGAGCCTGGAGCCGCGTTGCCTCTGCAGAGGTCAAAACTGCAATACTACCTGTGCATCCCGTTGATGACGGCAGCGTAGACTATATTTCTCCAAAGCCCCATGTAGAACTTCAACTTTGGTTGAAAGGCTGGTTTCTCCCTCTCCATTTGGAGTTCTCATCAACAGTGTAAACATATACTCTCAACCTCTACTTGGTGAATCTGGTTTGTGACCGTAGATGCCATGCCATCGAGGTGAAGCCTATTCCAACCTGCCCTTCCGCGTCCCTCCTCCGCCCCTCCCTACGAATATCTTTCCCATCCTGTTGACAGGGCAAACATGATGTTTTCATCAACCTGGCGACTGGTCGCCACCGTATCTCTCGTATCGACGGCATACTGCCTGGATGTAACACCCGGCTCGGACTGTGCGGCATTATGTTTGGGCGGATCGAACGGGACATCACTAGACACATCGGCCTCGCCCACAAACTCGTCCGATATCGTTTGCGAGAACAATCAATATCACACGTCGGGCAAGGGGATCAAATTCAAAAACTGCGTCAGCTGTCTGCAGGACAGCCAGGCAACGAAGGGTTCAGACAGTGATACGGCAGCGTTTCTGCGTATGGACCACCCCTTCTTCATTTCCTCTGGATATTCCGGAGTAACCTGTTGTGGGAGATTCACTAACATCTCAGAAAGGCAACATTAGATATGCGGTCGATTCTTGTATCTATAGTTTCCCCGAAGTTGTGTCGGATCTCAACTCTCCCTGCGGCATCAAAGCTGCCTGCGAACCGCTCCGTACCGCCTTGACGACATCCCTCACGACATCAAATAGTGACAATACCTATGACTACTGCACCGCAGACGGGGCGAAGTTCCCCACCGGCTACTGGTCGTGTGTAAAATGTTTGCAGTCGAGTGAGCAGCAAAGTTACCTCTCCAACTGTCGGTGTTACCCCTGACTACCTATGCCTCGTGACCACGTCGCTGACCATTTATCACAGTCCTGATTGCGTTGAAGGCAGGATGCCAGCAGAAGCCGGCCCTCGGAAGCGTCATCGCTTTGACGGGGCAAATCTTCTCAGATACCCCCGTCAACATCAGCGAGCAGTCGACAAACACGACGATGCCAGGAGACGGAGGCGCCTCCGCCACCACGATGACCATGGGTACCATCGTTGGCATCGCAGTCGGCGGCGGCCTCGTCTTCATCGGGGCCATTTGCCTCTTCATCGTCTACTGCCGCAAACAACGAAAGATCCGTGATGAAGTGAACCGCGATCGCGACGACTTACCGCCGCGAGCGGACAGCAACGCGAGCTCCCACACAGCCATCAACCCATACCTATCCATCGCCGACCACAAAAAGTCTTCCTCCATCAACTCGTTCAACTACGAGCTCCAGGAGAAGCACATGGCCAACGCCGACTACTACGAAGAAGACAGCCGCATCGGACGAAGCAACGCCAGCTACAACTTTGACCCGCATATGGCGCACCGCAACGCCGGCAGCGCCCTCCCGACGCACCCGGCCTACATCCCGCGCGCCATGAGCCGGCAGACGCAGCACTCGATCACGCCGCCGAACCAGAACTACCCTCCTCCTCCCATGGACACGGGCATTATACCCATCTTCCCGCGGACAGCCGCATCGCGGTCGTCCTCGCCCGCGCCGTCGCGGTGGCACAGCGGCATGGCAAGCCAACGAACCAGCCCGCTTCTCCCTCCGCCACCAGCGGGCCCGCCTCCGCGGACCACAATGGTCCCTTCGATTTCCATGCCAACGATGCCTCGGCTGCGGATTCCAAAGAAGTACTCGCCGCCTCAGATCATTGTATCTGGTGCGTCGCCCATCGACGGCATGAACAACACGCCTGTAATGAGCATATCCGAACCACTGAGTCTGCGAGAGAACAGGTTCCAAGACAGGCCTTTGGCTGGGGGTCCTGTTACGTCTAATGTCGCTCCGGTGAGAGATGTTGACCCGGCTGATTGGGAAAGGGATATACCCATTGGCAGTGGGAAGAGCACACTCTACGGATAATGTTGAGTTTGTGGGAATAATGAATATGTTGATATAGGAAGTGGCTGTCTCTTGTTCTCAACATTCGCTAGATATCAAGGAGTTATTGGGTCAAGGAGTTAATAAAGGCGTGAACGGGAATGGTAGACCATGCCATCGGATAGGTAGCGAAAGGTTAGGGTAGAAGCATCATTGCCCATGTAATTGTTCTTATCATACATACTACATATTTTCTCTGGTAGTCTCAATCATCCCAGACGTCTGCCGGGTCCTCTTGTCCTCCACGACTCGGGCAAAACGCCGCCGCCCTGCGATACACCGGTGCTGCTACCCGAACTTTGGGCCGAGCCGCCACCGCCGCGAACGGCAGTTCCGTACTCGCGCTGGTTAAAGCGAGGTGTCTGCACGAGACGAGACAGGAAGCCAGGCGTGGGGATCAGGTTACTGCCTCCACTGAACTCGGGCCACACCCGAGACAGGAAATCGTATAGGTGAGCGGCCAGGAAGCCCATAAACTGGAGCATGGCGGTGTAGTATCCGCCGGGGAAGAGCAGCGAGACGAGCATCATGCAGAAGGGAGTGAGCTGGGCGGGGATGGTGACGAAGTAGAAGTTGGCCTTCATCCCGCGCTGGTCTTGGGTAACGGTACGGCACATGGCGAGAATCAAAGCCGGCAGGAAGGCTCCTCCGCCCATGAGGTAGGTGCAGAGTGCCTGTGCGATATTAGCGCATGCTCCTTTGGGCCGAAGCTGGATGATAATGGTCATGACGATGATATAGACAGTGAACAAGAGAAACAAAACCCAGTTTTTGGGTGAAGATATGTAGGGCGCTAAGAAAACCACTCGAGCAACATTGTGAGGTTGCACGAGCCATCCATAAGACATCCCACCATGCCCACGCCACGAACACCGTCCCTAAAGCGAAAGAGGACGGGTCGCGCCGTGAGGGTAATCTTCCTCATTTCCAGGAACCGCTGACAGCTGTGGGTATCCACTGTGCGGGCAGATAATATGAGGTGCAAGTGTGTGTGTGTGTGTGTGTGTGTATAGCAAGAGAGAAAGAGATTTTTCTTCTCATGGGCATTGTGCGTGATGAAGGAAGATTTCCCATAGGGAAGTAGCATGGTTTGGGCGGACTGCCGGAGCAGCGACAATAGCAACTTACCGTGATGACAGTGCACACGAACATGAGATACCAGATGACATCTTCGCGCCTTGCGAACCTGGGGTTGCCGACCTCGAGCGCCGTCAGGTAGTGGTACAGGAAGTACGTGTCAAAGAGCAGGCCAAGCTGGGGGCCGGTGAGCAGGAAGTTGGTTCCGAGACGCCAAATCTGAGGCGGGAACTGAAAGAGGAACTGGGGCATGAAGATGAACCAGTATCCATTTGCGATGCCCAGGAGAACAGAGAGAGACGTGACGAGCGCAGCTGTTGCAAATGTTCTGTAGAGGACGAGTCAGCAAGGCTGAGGGACAGATGGAGAGAGAGCAAAGGGGAAAGGGATGAGCTGTGCTTACCTTGCAACAGGTGGCGCCTGCCAGTAGGCATCGAGGAACTCGGACATGTTTTCCAATGTCCAGCAGAGCTGTGTTCCAGTGCGTTGAGAAGGCAGGTAAGTAAGAGTCGTTGAAGCAAACGACGAGAGAATGTGGTGATGTTGCAGATGGCAAGGCAGCTAGCAAATTGGCCAGGCTGCACTATTTATCTGCAGGTGTTGCGGGAGAAGAAAGACGTAACCAATGAGACACCAGGCTACAGCGCTGATGTGTTGGTGTTGGTCATGCTCTGTTCCTGACCCGTGTCCTCTCCTTTTTGGGGGGGGGGGGCGAGCAGGTAATAGTAGCTGATGTTCCAACTGGGGAAAGCTAGAAGGACAAAGAAGCGTTCCTGCCTCTGCGCTTTTCAATTCTTTTTTTTTCTGCCGCTGGAGCTCCCATCCCGAGTGGGCCTGCTCCCCCCAAGCGGTGAAAATTGGAGAATGCGGTCGGGTACGATTCACTGTTTGATGGCATTCCATGGCAGCCCGCTGCAGCTGCAATCGCTGACAGTTGAGGGGTCATGATTGGGCAATGCCCCCACATCATCCGAAGTCTGCCCCTCCCCGCCACTGGCAGCTCCGACACACGGCGCCCACTGATAACGATTAGTGACTCTAACAAAAAAGTCCCAAATCAACATCGACGATAGACTACACATTTGCGATATTTCCTCTGTTTTCGTCCCAATCCCTGACATATTCCCCGTGTTCTCACTCAAAATACGACTCAACCACTTATCAGCCATGTCTACAACGTCTCACCCGCCCAGATGGGCCGCCCTCGCGCGCGACACCAACGAGACAAAGATCCAGATGGCCCTTAACCTCGACGGCGGGGCATTCCCCCCCGACACCGACGAGAGGCTCACCGCAGCCGTCACCGAACACGCCTCCCAGGCAAGCAAGTCCCAGACCATCAGCGTCAACACGGGCATCGGCTTCCTCGACCACATGCTCCACGCCCTCTCCAAGCACGCCGGCTGGAGTCTGGCCCTCGCCTGCAAGGGTGACCTTCACAGTTCGTCTCCCCAGGAACAGTGACAAACTTTGTTAAAGATGAAGACAACCGCCCACTTACACCCAATCTCTCCTAACACAGTCGACGACCACCACACAGCAGAAGACGTCTGCATAGCCCTAGGCTACGCCTTCGCCGCCGCCCTCGGCAGCGCGACCGGCCTCGCCCGCTTCGGCTACGCTTACGCGCCCCTCGACGAGGCCCTCTCCCGCGCCGTCGTTGACCTCTCCAACCGACCCTACAGCGTCGTCGAGCTCGGCCTCCGCCGCGAAAAGATTGGCGACCTCTCGTGCGAGATGATCCCCCACTGCCTCCAGAGCTTCGCCCAGGGCGCCCGAATCACCCTCCACGTCGACTGCCTCCGCGGCGAAAACGATCACCACCGCGCGGAGAGCGCCTTCAAGGCCCTCGCCGTCGCCGTCAAGATGGCTACCAGCCGCGTTGCTGGTAAGGAGGGCGAGGTGCCTAGCACCAAGGGAACCTTGAGCGCATGAGAAAATACTTCAAAAGAGAAAGAGATAAAAGCAAAAAACATGGTAAAACAAAAGCAATTCACGGGGACACTGCCTGGGGAAGAGAGAGGTTTCTTGGAATCATTTGAATAATCCGAGTTGATATGATACCCCCGCCAAACTCCATGCTATCATCTTTGGTGGTCAAAAAAGACTACTCGTACAATAATGCCTGAATCATATCCCTCCAACCAAAACTCCATACACGCAAAAGGGCGAAGGACGTGAGCGCCCCACCATGCGAATTAATATCATGAGCGCTGTGGTCGCATGTTCTCCTTGTTGTTGCTCTGGCCCGACGCTGCGCGCCTCTTGTCGGCCTTTCTCTGTTCTATTCGCGCGATGGCTGCTGCTCGTCTCTGCGGAGGTAATGTGCTCTTTGACATGTTCGCCGCCAGCATAGTGCTTGCCTCAACATCAGGCTCGCCTGGTCCCCCTAGCCGGGCAAAACGATCCTGTAGCAGATCGATTGGCGCGTCCTTGTCCTTGCCGGAGAACCTGTGTCGCGGTGCCGGCGTGCTGCCTGTCGGAACCTCGCTCGACGTGACGATCCGGTTGTTGAGGTCAGAACCTAGGTATTCTCTGTTGCGGGGGGACCTTGGGATGAAAGGTCGCCACTTAGGCTTGTCCAGGCTGACCCGGTTCGAAAAGATCTCAGACTGAGGGCGCCTTGGCGGCTCCCTCGCGGGTGGCTCATCATCTGAGCTGAGAGAGTCCGCGTCTCGTTGGTATTTATCCCGGAGGTTTTGAGACTTTGGCTCGTTAAGCTTTTTGCCTAGTGATTCTACCAGGTCGAAGCTCCGACGGCCTGCCTCGCCCGAGGTTCTGCGGCTCTTGTGATCCGCAGTGAAACGATCAGTCTCTTGAGCGCGGTGTTCCCTGGCGGTAGGCTCCCGTTCAAGGGGAGCGGCAGTGTTTTTCGTCTTGGGCACATCGGCATTTCCTGATTTGAGAGTCTTGTTCTCCCTCTTAAGCTCGTTGATCTTCTCTGTTGCCTTCTCCAAGATGCGCCGCGTATCTTCTTGAGTGGCTTCAGCATCCGTCCTGTAAGTCTCGAACTCCGACTTCAACTTGCGTAACTCATCGTCTTTTCTCCGAATCGCCTCCTCCAGCTCGTCCACGCGCTTCCCCGATGCCGTGGAGTCTTTGCCTTGTTCCTTGTTCTGTGAGGGTTGTTGCTCGGCAAGTCGTTTGTTTTCTTCGGCGAATTTGTTTGCTCGTTGCTCGGCAAACAGGAGGTCGGATTTAAGCCGCTCAACTTCCTCCCGGAGCTGCCCATTCTCCTTGACTTGTGTTCTAGCCTTTCTCAACTCGCGCTGGGCCTCGAGCAGAGTCTTGTGTGTTCGTGGCGAGGCTGCCTGCCGCCGGCGCCTGCTTCGTGCATCCCCTTCGTCGTCTTCGCCGTTTTCACGGTTCTCAAGGAGTGCCGCTAGTTCCTGCACCTGCGTCCGGTATTCAACAGCAACGGCCGTTTGTTTAGCCAAGTCCTTAATGAGCTGGGGATTGTCTCTCTCTTCGCCACTGGCTCGCTGCTTCGCGGCAATCTGCGCTGCCATGTCGGAGATCTTCTTCTCCATCTTGGCGGCCTTTTCTTGCTCTTCCCTTAGTTTGGCATTGAGGTCGATAGCCTCGGCGTCCTTCATCTTGGCATACGACTTCGCAAGCTGCTTGTACTTGAGCAATTTCTCCATCTCGGCTTTAGCGTCCTGGTGATATTGCTCGAATTCCGATTTCCAGTACTTGCCCGATCGCGAATGGGGCTCGTTAAGATCCATTGTGATATCGTGCATGCATTGGTCGTCGTCGGCTTCCTCCCATTCGTCCTCCGCGTCGTCATTCCTGGCTGCAGTGGTCCGCGTCTGGCTCCTCTCCCGCGAGCTTGAAGTTCCTTTATTGCGTCGGGAGTTTTCCATTGTTTCGGTCAATTTGGTGCGCTTGCTTGCGGAGTCGCTCGTTGTATCTGCAAAGCTGTCTGGGAACCTCCCAGGCCGTTCGTCATTGTCGACTTCTTTGCCCTTTCTGTTATCGATCTTCTTGTTGTCCAACACATCGTGCCCGAACGACACACGTTTCCGACGAGATGTTCCGGTTCCTGGGGTGAGAAGGATTCCTTGAGGTTGTTTCATCGGGGTTCGAGACTCGGCATCAGAGTCGTCTTCGTCCTTGCGACGCGCCATGCTGGCAGTATTGTCGTCGTCAGGTCGCGCGGGTGTTCCAAAGATTGCGCTTTTGAGTGCGCGGGCGGCAAAGACGGGCGCGGGCGTATCTGGTTGCTCAATCTGTGTTGTGTCGTCTGTTATGAAGTTAGAAAAGCCGTGCGATGCGGCGGCAAGACTGGGTTGATCTGGCTGGGTCTCTCTCACCTGCGCCTACGTTTGCCTTGTTTCCCCCGGACGCGCCCTCCAACCCTCGTCTAAGAACCCAGCCCAACATCCTAGATTGCTCGTGGGCTTCTTATCGGTGGAGGAAACTGGTTGTGCCAGTAGCTGTGTGCACGCGGATCAATGGTGTTTGAGGTTGCGCGGAGTCCGACAGACGAGATCACATCACATGCGCTCGTGTCCTTGCGGGTCAGGTATTAATTAGTCTGCAGTTTTTGGTGATCAGACCGCGGCGAACAGATGTGGTTCTCAGTTGTTTACTTTGTTACCGCATACGGATGGCGCGTCCGTGGTCCGTCCCCTGGTCCCACACGGTGCTTAGCCACTGTGTGCACACTGCATGTCTTTGTCGACTGCCCCTCGTCTCAGGGTTCTTTAGAGCTTCAGGCGCCTTGGCCCGCTGGAAAGAGCGCTAAAACGATGGGCGTCATCATTGAGGGGCACTTGTCCACCCCAAGTCAACCCCCACTTCAAGCGTTTGGCAGCGGTAAGGCACCCCCAGCTAGCTGAAGGCGAATGCGCCGTACTGTGACAGCGCACCAGGTCGCCAGCCGTCGATGGTCGCGGTGTGGCGCTTTCATCGGCTAGACCTACGCTTGTAATTTCTTCCTGTTTTCTTCTTAGCTCTTCTTCATCCATATCTCTATATCTGAATAACCACTTTGCTCAACGTACCAATAATGGCTTTCCCGTAACGGACTGTCACGGCTCGCGCTGTGGTGATTCGTCAAGCCTTTTCTCGTCGTCCTCGATATGGCGTGGAAATCATCCGGGGTGTGGAATAAGCCCATCGACAAACCGCAGAAAAATGAAGATGACTCAAGCTTCCCGGGACTCAAATCAAAGCGTCCCGAGGCCGCCCCCAAGTTGGAATATGAGGAGCTCCAGCAGAACGAGCTCATCGCCCTTGAAGCCATTTATGGAGAGGATTTCATGAGGCATGCAGAGACGCCGGGTGCATGGAAGGTAATAACCATCACAATGTCATCTCGTCCGCAACATAACAAGACTTTATTGAACAGAGCCTGACGCTGACGCGCAAAACAGAAATCTGACCCCTCATTCGATGTTCGTATCAGGGCTTCATCAGATGAAGACTTTGCAGTTACTCTGGGCGTGGTGATGACTGCTACGTATCCCAGAAGCCCACCGCTACTAACACTGAAGAAAACTGGCAACCTGCGCGAGGTCACCTTGTTCAAGCTTCAGAAGTACCTTGAGACAGAGCCCAAGATCTTCGCCACAGAGGAGCAGGAGATGGTGGACCGTATCGTAGAGGGACTCAGAGACGTTCTCGAAGACGCGGCCCAGGCAAAGGCCAGAGGACTCGAACTGCCTTCGCTGGAAGAGGAGAGAGCGGCTCATGAGGCTTTTCTGGCCAAGCTAGCCGAGGAACAGAAGCAGGCAGATGAGCGCAAGAAGGAAGAGGAGAGCAAAGAGGAGGAGAGGGTTCTCGGTGGCCTGTTGCAGGTTGAGTTGAAGCGTCAGAAAGAGAAAGCCAAGGAGACACGAAAAAAGAATCGCCCCAACGGAGGACTACCATCTCTCAATTCAATGGACGGCCCCAACTGGCCAGAAAGTGGCCGTATCATCTTTGATAGACCTTGCCAAACCACCGACAAGACTGGAAATGCCATTTCCTTCCAGGCTGTCTTTGGAAAGTCCGAGATTGCCAAAGGACCCATCTCAACCGTCTTCTCCGTCTGGCCTCTCGTTGGCAGCGGACAAGAATGCCCTAATTTGGCGCTCAAGGAAACTGTTCTTCGCCCGGCTTCAAAGGACACTTCGGTATTCAAGAAGCAGATTCAATCCCTTGAAGGTCAACTGGAAGCACTCAAACAAGTGCGCCATCGCAACTTGCTCGAGGTCTTGGACTTCAAGGTAGAACGCGAGAAAAACAACGTCGAGAAAGCATCGGCAAGCCTTTGGACTGTCAATGTCCTCACTCCCAGCGCCGAGAAGGGCTCTTTAGCCGAACTACTCGATTTGGCTGGCCAGTTGGACACCAGCAAGGTGCGTGCCTGGACACGGGATCTCTTGGATGCTCTTAACTTCCTGCACAACAAGTCTCTGGTGCATCAGGACATTCATGCGGGAAATGTGCTCCTCTTCCGGGAACAGACGGGAGAAGTCGTGCCGAAGTTGTCAGACGCAGGCTACCAGAGGGAATTGCACAACATCTCATCCAAGGGACAGGCCCCAGTTGGTTTAAGCTCTGCAAAGTCTGCATATTGGCTGCCGCCAGAGACTGCCGCTTTGTCGAAGCAGCACTACACACAAAAGACGGACATGTGGGAATTTGGCATCGTTTTCCTTCAAATGATATTTGGACTTGACGTGCCTCAAAAATACCATTCACCCTCTGCAGTCTCCGACTCCATGTCTCTATCGCGACCTTTGCAGGAGTTGGTGACTAGATTCTTCAAACCGGACCCCAAGAAACGACCGCGTGCTTTCGAACTCGGCTCCAGCGAGTTCCTCGCCACCGACGCCCCTGTGATCGTCGAGGACACCGCCTCGATTGCGTCAAACTATCACTCCGTAAATGCCCTATCGCCAATACCCCCGAGATTAAGACGCGAGTCAACGAATAGAACTCTCACTTCGTCGAGATACCGGGAAGACTTTGACGAGGAAGGTCGTCTGGGTAAAGGAGGATTCGGCGAGGTTGTCAAAGCTCGGAAGAAGCTGGATGGGCAGATTTACGCCATCAAGAAGATCAGCCAAAGATCTCAAGCAAGTTTGACGGAAATTTTGAAAGAAGTCCGTCTGCTATCACAGCTCAGTCACCCGGCTGTGGTACGCTACTACAACACTTGGGTCGAGGAGATACCAGATCAGTCTGACACGGAAGGTGACACCTCCACGGAAGATTTGAACACGGAAGACTCTCGCGATACCATTTCACAGGACCCGGCAATCCATTTTGCTACCAGCACCGGCGGCCTGGACTTTATGTCTTCGAGCGGCTACCCACAAGTAGAGTTTGGCTACGACGACTCAGACGCCGAAGAGGAATCTGAAGAGGACGATGAAGATGATGAGGAAGACGACGAGGATGAAACCGACTCAGATGACGACGACAGTAGTCAGGCTATCGGAAATGGTCCACGGAGCAGGGAAATCCAGAGGAGAATCAGGCCCCAACGATCTTTCAGGACTGTCTTGTACATTTCCATGGAGTACTGCGAAAAGAGGGTGAGTCTCTATACCGCGCAGGATACACCGCACGCGAATCCGTTGGCAAGACTGACGACGATTAGACGTTACGTGATCTAATCACTCGAAAACTCTACCAAAACACGCCGGAAATATGGCGTCTTTTCCGTCAGGTCCTCGAGGGACTAGCCCATATCCATGGTCTTAGTATCGTACATCGGGACCTAAAGCCTGAAAATATCTTTATTGCTCACAGCAGTGATGGAACGGACAATGTCAAGATCGGAGACTTCGGGTTGGCCACCAGCGGCCAGTTTGCGGTCGATAGGGCTCTTCCTAATGCCATGGAATCGGACGATATCACCAGAAGTATTGGGACTACGTCCTACGCCGCGCCAGAAGTGCGCTCCGGATCTAGCGGGATGTACAGCTCCAAAGTTGACGTAAGTATCTTGCGTAAAGTTTTCTGGCGTGCTTGTTGCGATGGCACTGACACTTTTCAGATGTACTCTTTGGGTATCATTTTCTTCGAGATGTGTTACCCCCCGATGCTGGGCATGCAGAGAGCAGAAGTTCTCGAAAAGCTCCGGCGACCTAGTCCTGAGCTTCCTGTGGATTTCAAGCCCGCCGAAAAGATACAGACGGATATCGTCCTGTCTCTGATCACCCACAATCCCAAAGAACGACCATCGAGTGCAGAGTTGCTGCAAAGTGGAAAACTTCCCGTGCAAATGGAGAGCGAGACCATCAGACGAACACTGGCTGGTTTAGCTGACCCCAGCTCGCCTTACTACAGGAAGATGCTCTCGACACTTTTCTCACGGCCTCTGGAGCAAGCCAAAGATTTCGCCTGGGATATGCATGAGGCGAGCCCCAGCCAAGCAGACTTGCTCAACCAAAGCATCGTCAAGGAAACACTGATTTCCATCTTTCGCCGACACGGAGCTTTGGAGTGTCAGCGCACCTGCCTCTATCCACGTTCGTCCCACTATGCAGAGAACGTCATGAGACTCCTGGACTCGAACGGCACCGTCCTGCAGCTCCCGTTTGATCTTACAATGGGCCACGCAAGAATGCTTGCCAAAGCCAGCGGGACTCCGGGCGTCCAGCGCACATACACTTTTGGCAACATTTTCCGTGATAAGGGGGATACTGGGCAACCTTACATGCTGGGCGAAGTTGACTTTGACATCGTCACGACTAACACCCTGGACTTGGCTCTGAAGGAGGCTGAGGTCCTCAAAGTACTCGACGAGATCATTGCCACGTTTCCGTCACTGTCTACGAGCCAGATGTGTTTCCATCTCGGACATTCCGATTTGCTACAGTTAATCTTTGACTATTGTCGCGTCGAGCATAGCTCTCGAAGGGCTGTAGCAGATGTACTCAGCAAGCTCAATATTCATCACTGGTCCTGGCAGAAGATCAGAGCCCAGTTGCGTTCTCCACTGGTCGGCCTTTCAGCAACCAGTGTAGATGAGTTACAACGATTTGACTTCCGAGGTTTGCCGACTTCTACTTTTTGTGCTTTGAGTCGAATGCTAACAGATTTTAGACACACCCTCCAAGGCCTTCTCCAAGCTCAAGACACTCTTTGAGGGCACTGACATGTACCAGCGAGCCTCGTCAACTCTGGCACATCTCAGGGAGGTCTCGGAGTATGCCAAGAGACTTGGAGTCACAAGCAAGATATACGTGACACCGTTGAACAGTCTGAAAGAGAGCTTCTATACTGGCGGGACTCTATTCTCCTGCCTCTACGACAAGAAGATGAAGGATGTGTTTGCCGCGGGTGGCCGATATGACAGCCTCATCAGGGAAAATCGTCCCAGAATTGGCAGCCATTACGAAGAGCGCCACGCTGTGGGGTTCAACTTATCGTGGGAGAAGCTTTCGAGGGCCCCAAAAACTAGCGGAAAAGCATTCCTCAAAAAGACAGAAGAAGAGGGCCACAACATGTTCAGCAGCACGAAGAGAGTAGGTCATTGGTTTTCCCTCACATTTTGGTTCGGCATCTCACAGCAACTTACAGTGCGATGCCCTCGTGGCCAGCTTCGACGCCGCCGTCCTGCGCTCTACGGGAATAGAGATCCTGCAGACGCTATGGTCGCACAACATCAGCGCCGAGCTCGCGAGGGATGCGCGTTCTCCAGAAGACCTGCTCTCCCGCAACCGCGACGAGGGCTACTCCTGGGTCATCATCATCAAGCAAGACGCCATCCTCAAGGTCAAGACGATGGACAAAAAAGACACGCCCGACGTCGACATACCCATGGCGCAGCTGCTCTCGTGGCTGCGCGCCGAGATCCGGGAGCGCGACTCCAAAGAGTCCAAGGCGGCGGTCAAGTCGCGGGCCGGCGGGCAGCAGGCCGAGACCAACGTGACGATCGAGACGCACCAGGAGCAAGACGTGCGCGTGCTGGTCGCGGGGACGCGGAGCAAGAAGTTCAATCGCAGGACGGTCGTGGAGCAGGCGCAGGTGAGCGCGGCGAGCCTGGTGCGGTCGTTCCTCGACGGGCCGATCCTGGCGATCGAGACGACGGATCAGGTGATGGATCTCATCCGGGACACGTGCCTTTCGGACGGGGAGAGCTGGCGGCGGGTCGAGCACAGCGTCACAACGGCGGAGAAGAAGTACGTGAGGGAGATTCACGACATGTTGCTGAATTGGAAATGGGCGTGGGAGAAGAAGAGCGGTAGCCGGCATGCGTTTTTGTACAATTTCCGGACTGGGAATTGTGTCTACTATGATTTGGGAGCATAGTTGGATGGGAGAGGTAGAGTAGGGAGTGGGCTTGTGGCTTGCTGCCCCTCAAGAAACGGACGAATAAAGAAATGAACAATCCTCTCGAGGTCTTTGCTCCCCTGTCTGTCTTTCGTTTGGGTCTTCTTTTGTACCATTTTCACCGAGAAAGCGTCGTCGAAGCACCGGTTTCGCTTGAGTCTGCTCAAGAACAATCCTTTGGTGCGGCGGCGGTGGTGGTAACAAACCATATTGAACGGGAAGCAGGGGTCTGATGCCATGGCGGTGACTTGTGACGTGGGTTTCTGCGAGTTTGCATGGCTGGGTCGGGACGATCGGACCAAGGAGCATTGAGTTTATCTGGGGTCAACTTGGTTTACCTTACTGTGACACCTTTTTTGTGACATATTGGGGATTTAGGTGCCGGGTCGTTATGCGAGGACAAAGACTCCCGGTCAGGTACCGAAACGGAGGCATTCTTGGGGTCAGTACCTTGATCAGCGGTTTGGGAGGGAGTTGATTTCCAATCTGCACAAATAGAGGACCTTGATGGCAGATGATGGAAGGTGGATATTATGATGGGCTTCCTCAAGTCCTAGATGTTTGCTGGCTATGGATTCTGAGTCATCTCGGGCAGTCTTTGGGCCTTGGGGATGGATAGTCGATACCTACAGATACTCGAGGGGATCAAGATACTGGGAGTCTGGGACAAGGTGTAAGTGCTGTGCTGATACCTGACGTGGTGACAGGCCGAAATGCACAGACAACAAAGAGAAACCTGGCAGTGCCTGTGAGGTGCATGGCGAGTCCGGACCGCCCCTTTGCAGATTCCCAGTGAGTGTTGTTTCTTTGGCTTTAACTTGAAGAGTAGGAGTGGTGGGTGAGGAGGTCGAATAAGCACGCACAAAGATGACACAGCCATGTTGCTGTAAGAACAGACAGAAGATTTCCCGTTGTCAAGGCCTGTTGGGGGCGGCATGTTTGGGTGACTGGCACCTGCACTGGTGATGTGACGTTTACCTTATTGCACGAATAATACGCATGGTCCTCGAGTGTCCAAGGACAATAAGACAAGAGGCAAAGCCAGGGAGGCAGAGCACCCGACAGCGGCAGACAAGGAGTAAGTAATTACGGTAAGTTGTAACCGTAAGGTGGTAAAGTACCTAGGGCCAAGGACAGGCGCCGTCTCTGAAGCTGGCCACGGATCCGAGACACTGCGTGACCTCCTTGAGGAGTCTAGCCATCTCGGGTGGTCCCTGGGGTCCCATGGTTCCCAACTCGTCCAGGCAGGGCAGTTTCCGGTCTACGGAGTACGGCACGTAACCTTGATAAATCCATACACAGTAGATGGCAAAGGGGGCACCTCAGACAAGTCAGACTGGGCTGGTATTGCTGCTTTCTTACCTGAATTAAAGGTAGACACTATTTCCTTTGCATCGCGACCTCCGTTGTACAACTTTGTTCCCTGCGTGGCCCTCTTTTCTTTCTCTCTCTCTCTCACACACACAGCATAAATCTCTCTCTGGCCCCCGACCTTACCATCATTCCGTTCCCGTCACATAGTAGCCCATAAGGTACTCTTACACCCGACGATTCCCACCACACAGGTCGCTCCCACGGGTCGGTCCTCCCGTCTCCCTTTATCTTATCGCCCTGCCGCCCACTCCGAGTCAGTTGGGTGGTTTATCGAGTCATCCATCCCCTTTCGCCCCTCCATACCCTCCATCCCACCTCATCGTCGCTTCCTTTCTTTGGTCACACGCCTCTTGTGAGAACTTGCTGTACGCCTTCTTCGCTGCCCACCCACAAGAGCGCCCTTTTCCTTCTACTGCTGCGTGTACACACAATTGCATACTTGCATCATATCCAACCTGACATCTTCCCCCCTTCGACAAATCCATCTCATCGCTTCAACTTCGTCCCACGACGCCCGCCCTGCTTCTTTCCGGCCTACTAACCGCCGCCACCTCACCGTTACAAATACTCCAACATCATGGCACAGAAGCGATTGATGAGCGAATATCAAACCCTGCAGAAGGAGAAATGGGTTCACATTGATGTCGACGAGCGGAATGTCTTGAACTGGAAGATTGGCCTCATGGTCGTCAACCCCGACAGCGCCTTTAACGGAGGCTATCTCAAGGTTTGTTTGATCTCCCCCCCAGTCTACATACCAAAGCACACCACTGACTGACGTTCTAGGCCGAGATGACGTTCCCCCGAGACTACCCATATCAGCCCCCCACCTTCCGTTTCCTCAATAAGAATATCTGCCATCCGAACATCTACACCGACGGCAAGCTCTGCATCTCCATCCTCCACACGCCCGGCGAAGACGAGCAGTCTGGCGAACAGGCCTGCGAACGTTGGTCTCCTCTGCAGGGCGTAGAGTCGGTCTTGCGCTCTGTCCTGCTCCTTCTGGACGACCCCGAGATCAACTCTCCCGCCAACGTTGACGCGAGCGTTCTGTACCGTGACAACCGTTCCGAGTACCAGAAGAGGGCGCAAGAAACGGTTGCGAAGTCCAAGAAGGACATTCCCGAGGGTGTGGTCTTCCCCACGACCGCTGACCTAGAGCCCGTGCCTCAAAAGCCCATCGACGACGACGCGTTCTGGAACGAGACGGACGATGAGGGTGACTTTGACTTGGGCGGTAGCGATAGCGACTTTGACATGGACGAGTACAACGAGGACGATGAAGACGAGGATGCGGACGACGATAAGCCTTGAATCCGACCTCGGACATGGGACTCGACCCAGCACACACACGCACACTTTACTGCTCCGACCTGAACCTGCTACACCAAAAGCAAACACCTTACGGCAGGCGTCTTGACTCGGCGGCGGTGGACTCGTTCTCCATTTTTTCATTTTCTACATCTATCTTCCTCTACACGCGTGATAATGCATAGCGACGGCCCCGGGCGTTTTACCGGCTGTCAGCACGGAGCACGGCCTGCTTAGGCTAATACGGCGTCTTGGTTTTTACGGGTTTGGCATCATTCGATCTCTGCGGAGGGCTTCTGGGAAGGGCTTCCACATAGGGATACGGGAGTTCACATTTGGTTCTGCAAAAGCAGAGAATCAGAAGGGGGGCGCGATTCATTAGTTTGGTGGCTGATTGGCAAACCAAGCAGCCAGGACAGCGCATGAGATACCGCACATAGACCAATCAATCACATCACAACTTCATGACTGCAGAGTGCGCCACTTTAAGGGGAAAAAAACAAAAAACTGGCAAGGCTTGATTACCTGGGAAAGCATACCGTACCATGTGCGGGTAGTAGTGGCCAATAATCAAGACTTGTCTGGACGTTCTCAGCCAATCTGTCATACCTATGTGTGCTCTGGCGGCCACTATCCATTTGCCGCTTGTTGGCGCAACATTGCTCGCGAGTACTGGGCCGGCAGTGACCGTAAACGTGCACGCCGTTCCCGATCCTTCAGCGCTGTAAGGAGTTTAAAGTGTAAACTTGCCCCGCTAACACCTTCAACATCCATGAGGGCTATCAACTACCTTGTCTCAATCTGTTACCAAGCAGATGACAACTATTGGGACGATAAAGCAACTAATGAATGGAACCGAATTTACCGAGAAGCTCAATTATGAGCTTGATCTACATCTTTACCTTAGTTATGATCTGAAGTCGGGGTGGCTATGGGAGTAAGAGCATTGGTGACGCCAGATAGTGGAGAAGTGTCTTCGTGCCGCTGCTAAGAACGCACTGTCCATGAGAGCATCCGGCAGGACAGCTCATGGGGCCTTCCCAGCACGGGTCTACGTACTTGCATGCCACTTCCACTTCCCTAGCACGCCTAGGTACCTACCAAATCGGACGTGAGGTGTCCCGACAAGATCTGACGACAAGACGAACGGAGTGAAATTGAAAGTCCGCTGGCACTGCCTTATCCCGTACCATTGCTGAGTGCTGCATTCCGACCTTCTTCCGCACCTGTACGGGCAGCAGCTCGCCTAGACCGGTCGCCTTCACAGCACGTCGGGTCTATTCCGTTTGGCACTATTACTCCTCCGAACCTCTCTGGCAAAGCTACATGCGCCAGGCCACCTGCGACTCCAGTCCGTCTTTCTCGATAGCCATGCGCAATTACCCTCGATCCTTCCTCCACTATCGCTTCTAATCGACCCATTTGCAACGATTCGATTCGGCAACGAGACACTTGTCTGAGGGGTAGCTCTGCAATATGGCGCCCGAACCAACGGCTGAGGACGTTGACAACTTCCTCGAGTTCTCGGGCCTGGACCCCGCTAGAGACCGCAATATCGTGATCACGGCGCTCAAGGTGAGAGGGCTACGGCTGATGGACATCTGCGATGCTTGTCTTGCCGACAGAAGGGCTGACGTGGAGTACAGAGCAATAGTAATCGGGATGAGCTTGCGTCAGAGGTCTTGATAGATGGAGTCGACGTGGTTTGTCGAGCCTTGTCAGAAAGCTCTGTATCACAGCTAACGGGCCTTAGTTCCGGAGGAAGTATACATGGGACGACACAGCATTCGGAGCCAGCCGTGACGGAGAGCCGAATCATACGGGTATAGGTGCGTTTGTTCTTGCACCAACAGCAGCTGTAGACAATGTGTTGCTAACTCTTGCTGGCCAGCTTTCAACATCGAGGCCCCCGACAATGCCGTCATACAAGGCGTTACCCCTCCACCCGAAAACGGCTTCTACGGCCCTTCGGCAGGCGCTCCCTCACGACCTCCATCGAGAACAAATAATCGATCGCCGCTTGGTAGGATGATAGACTGGACGACCGGGGACCTTTCCGGTACTGCCTTCCCTGTTGTGTGGGACTTTGGCTGACCATGGACATTAGGAGCTCCTAGTACTGCTGCGCAAGAAGAGGACGATTATAACAGGGCCATTCGCGATTCCCAGCGGGACGCAGACTACATACCTCAGGAAGCCGGCGTCACGGGCGGAAGCGCCAACGCCCCGCACTTTGGGCCTGCCAACAGGTCTGACTACGACTCGAACAGCTGGGCTATGGTGACGACCGCAAC